TATTGTTTTTGTTTTTTTAAAGACACAGAATCTCAGTCTGTCATCCATGCTGGAGTGCAGTGACTTGATTACAGTTCAGTGCAGCCTCAAACTCCTGTGCTCAAGTGATCCTCCCATTACAGCCTCCCACGTAGCTGGGATCACAGGTGCTGCCACCATGATGGGCCTAGGATTCCATCCCTTAAGGAGCTACATCCCATCCACTGCATGTGTGTTGTGGAGGCAGGGTGTGTGTTGGGGAGAGCAGTACATAGCCTGAATTACACAGGATTACAGATTGTGACAAACTGTGACAAACTTTATAGGAGTTGCATGGAAGTAGGTGGTCAGGAAAGTTCTCTCTGGGGAGCTGACACTTATGTGAAAACCTAGAGAATGAGAAGCCAGCCATGAAATAAGGCAAGGATAGCTGGCTTTGGGTGACTGGGCGGATGATGGTACTGCTAGCAGAGTGGGGAGTGGGAGAAGAGGGAGGATTGAAAATTTTGCTTTGACCAGACATGTTATTTTTATTTATTTATTTTTTAGGCAGAGTCAATCGTCACCCAGGCTGGGGTGCAGCAGCCTGATCTTGGCTCACTGCAGCCTCTGCCTCCCCAGTTCAAGCTATTCTGTCTCAGCCTCCCAGGTAGCTGGAATTACAGGTATGTGCCACCACACCTGGGTTTTTTTTTGTATTTTTCTTTTTCTTTTAAAGATGGGGTTTTCACCACGTTGGCCAGGCTGGTCTTGAAGTCCTGACCTCAGGTGATCCACCCACCTCAGCTTCCCAAAGTGCTAGGATTACAAGCGTGAGCCACCGCGCCTGCCTTTTAAAATTTTTCTTACACATCAATAGAAGATTCCTTGTGATTTTTTTTTTTGTATTTTTTAGTAGAGATGGGGTTTCGCCATATTGGCCAGGCTGCTCTCGAACTCCTGAGACTCAAACAATCTGCCTGCCTCAGCCTCCCAAAGTGCTAGGATTATAGGCGTGAGCCACCACGCCTAGCTAGAACTGTTAAATTTGAGATCAGTGGTTACCCAAGTGGAGATCAGGAGCCTGGAGTGCTGGCAACTCAGTATTGGGAGTCACGGGATACAAGCGGCATTTAAAATTAGGATCTTAGGGTCGGGCGCAGTGACTCAGGCCTGTAATCCTAGCACTTTGGGAGGCCAAGGCCGGTGGATCACGAGGTCAGGAGTTCCAGACCAACCTGACCAACATGGAGAAACCCCGTCTCTACTAAAAATACAAAAAATTAGCTGGGCATGGTGGTGCGTGCCTGTAATCCCAGCTACTCAGGAGGCTGAGGCAGGAGAATTGCCTGAACCCAGGAGGCGGAGGTTGCGATGAGCCGAGATCACGCCATTGCACTCCAGCCTGGGTAACAAGAGTGAAACTCCGTCTCACAGAAACGGGGCTGGCCTGCTGCATGGACAGATGAGGAGCTGGAGGGAGACTCTGAGAGGTTCATGATCATTCATCCTGCCACCTGTCAGGGCAGTAGCAGGCTCGCAGACTCCTTAGCCAGCACTTGTGTGTGTGAAATGCAAGTGTTAGGAAAGCTTCAGGGTGACCCTGAATAGACCTCCACTTTGCAGATGAGGAAATTGGACCTCAAGAGGGGCCATCTTGCACCCTGTCATCAGTCTGTAGGTGGCAGAGCCACAGTCCAAACCCAGGGCTTCCAGACTCCAAAATGCAGCTTCTTCCACCACTCACTCCCACCTAGCTCCTAGTGTTACCCTAGGAGGACCCCAGAGAACCTTCATCTGTAGGGCACTCCTGCCCACTGTGACATGCCCGTCTGCCCAGGTGCAGCCACCCAAGAAGCCACTGGTCCCAGAAATGGGGCCAGCCTCCAAGCTGGGCCATGTGCCACACCCACCATCCACATGTGGCAGCTCAGTGCTCCAGGGCCAACGCCGAAACAAGAGGCACCCTCAGCCCTTTGGCCACTTTCTGGATTTCCTGACTGAGAGCCAGGTCCTGGACAGCTTGGAGACAGTGGTGGAGGAGGCGACCGAGCGCATGGCTGCCATGAAGACGGAGGCTGGGGTGCCACTGGTGGAGGTGCAGGACCCAGTGGAGGTGCCAAGTGGTAGGCGGCGGGCCCGTGCCCGGCCCAGCCTCAGCACCGTGCACCGGCACCGTGCACAGCCAAGCCTCTGCACTGGACACCCCAACAACTACCCATCCAGCTCCAGCTCCACGTCTGACTCTCATGGCAGCCTCATGGCTGGCTGGCTGGGCCCCCATGTCAGGGACAGTGACCTGGGGGCCCAAGGCTTAGGCTCATTGCCACCTGTGAGGGACAAACTCCTGCTGGAGAAGAACCTCAAGCGGCTGCTACAGCTGGAGAGGAAAGGGGTAAGAGCGGGGCCGTGGCTGGGTGGGGTGGACTCCCATGGAGAGCCCAGGACCAGGGTCAGAGTCACTTCTCAGAATCACCCTCTTTCTGCAGAAAGGCTTCAATCAGTCCTGCACTCAGAGAAACTCCCTGCTGTGGGATTCGCTGGGCAGCCAGACCAGCTGCCAGTGGACCCAGGAGCAGTCCCCATCCTGGTTCTCAGGGCTGCTGGGCTCAAGCTCTGGCATGCCTGAAGCATCAGAGCTGAGGCCTGGAGAACGGGAATGGATCTTCCACAAGCAGGAGTTCAACAAGGAGCTGAAGTCGTTACTGAGCCAGCTGGAGTCCCTCGACCTGCCTGGCTACTGTCCGCTCCGTGAGCCCCACCGCATGCTGAACTTCCTGGCCGAGCACCACCTGTTCCCCGCCCTGCAGAGCGTGGTCAGTCAGGCTGTGGACAAGCTCCGTGGTGCCTGCTGCTGTGACGGCCGCCCTCTGTTCCCCACCAGCTTGGAGCCCACCTCAGAGCTGCAGGGACAGAGCAATCTGCAGCCTCCGGGCTCTGAGCCGACCAATCCCACCAACACGGGGCAGCCCCATGCTTCCCCCCATCCCACAGCCTCCAGCCCTAAGATGCCTCACAGAAAACACAAGGACAGAGGAGGCTACCCCTCCATGTCTAGTGCCCAGGTGGCCACCAGATTCAAGCTCAAGGTGACACCCACGGAGAAGCCCAATGTCCCCAGTTCCTCACTCTACTCCAGGAAAGAGGTGCCTGACTCAGATCCCAAATTACAAAACCCACCTGTTTCCCTGAGCTCCAGCCAGAGGGCCAAGCCCTGGCGGGGCCTGCACCTCACTCTGCCTGCCCCCGGAATTGTGGTGGAGGTGGATTGCAGCCAGGGCCACCTCAGGGGCCCTGTCACACCTCCGTCTGCCTTCCCCTGTCCCCACTCTTCCTGCTACTTTCTCCCCAAGCTCTTCTCAGTTGCCTTATCTCCCGCCTCAGTGTCTGGAGGTGACCTCCTCGAAAGTAGGACCAGGCATGAGTTTGCAGGAGAAGGACTCCCTGGCCCACCTCTCCTAGCAGCCACTGGCACTGGCAGGTGCTCAAGACCAAGGTCTCTTGCCCTGCACTGTGGAAATCTCCTGGACAGGGACTAAACTGATGGGAGCCCAGGAATGCTGGCCTAGCTATTACCAGGTGTTATCACAGATGAATAAAGGCTATTTTTTATGCTGGGCATTTTTCGAACGTTTGTTTATGAATCTCAGAGACCCTCCCACGTGGGGGTGAAGGGCCCTGTCTCTTGTGGACAGCTGCCCTAGCCGGGCCGGGGCCTTGCCTCCGAGGTCTTGCTCCCTGGAATCCAGCTGCCTTGAGCAGTACTCTCCAGTCGCTGTAGTTTGCCAAGGGGAAGTGTACACAGGGGATGAGTACAAGACGTCGGTGGCCTCACCCTGGTGGGTCTCTAGCAGTCCCTCAACTCAAGGCCCCTGCAGGCTTCTCTCTGAGCACAGGTCTGGGCAGGAGCCTGCTGGAACCTGGCTGTCAAGGCTCAGATTAGGCTCACCCTGTGACAGGTCCCTGCCCTTGCCCCAGGCCCAACAGGTGTAGGAGGTGTGATGGTGAGGTGAGCAGAGTGGGCAGCTGAGTGCGACAGCATAGCAGATGTGGCAAGGCTGTATACCCTTCGTGTAACAAGTGTGTTTGTCACACCAAGTTTGCCCACTCATGTTTGTGATGCGCAGGGCTGGCAGGGCTCTGAGAAGGGCACAGTGGCTGGGAGGGATGTCACTGGATGGCAGGAGGGATGGGGCCGCCAGGTGTGACATGTGTCCCTTTCCCTTCCCGGCTGCTATGCAGAGCCCCATCGGCAGCAAGTTCACAAAGAAGAAGCCACTGCCCTCCATCTCGTCGAAGTCCAGCATGTCCCACTTCTCCAACCGCTCTTACGAGGAGCTCGTTGACTTCCTCACCCAGCAGGCAGCCTCCCTGATCATCTGCAAGTATGAATTTGAAAAGGACCTCAATAAGCAGCTGGGCTTCTTCTCCTTCCCCGTTACCCAAGTGCTCAGGGACCTTTCCCTGGGCTTAAAGAAGGTGAAAGGCTCCCGCATCCACCAGTCCTCGGAGACCCATCTGAGCTGCCTGCTGCGTAAGCTGGAGGAGGTCAAAAGGGCCCGGCAGGACTTCCCGCTCAGCACCTCCCACCACAGCCCAGAGACACCCCCTGTGCAGCAGGAGCTGGCCACCTACGCCACCCAGGACCAGACCACAGACCCCGGCCACTCTCTTTACACCGACTTGCCAGCCAGCCGACAGCTCAGCCCATTGGAGCCCAGGCTGTCAGTGTCCACCCGCACTGGCATGGGTTCCAGTCCCCCCAGGTCCAAGGACATGGACAGTGAGGGCCAGGATAAGATCGAGCTTGAAGATGAAGATGAGAATGAGGATGAGGGTGAGGATGAGGAGCAGGATGAGGATGGGGATGAGGATGGAGTCCAGAGTCTCCCAGAGCCTGGAGAGGAGGCCTCGGTCAGCCACCCTGTGGACCTGGGCCGCAGTGACCCGTCTTGACGTCCCCACTGGCCACTTGATTCCCTGCTCTGTCAGAGTTGCTGCTCATCATACCAGCCCCTGCCCTGAGCAGGAGTCAGCATGGGCTGAATGCCTGCAAGGAGCTCTGCTGAGACTCTCAGGGGAGCCAGTGAAAGACACAGAAATAAAGCCTGTGTTGCTGAGACACAGGTTTCTTGTCCTGAGATTTCAGCCTCCGTTTCATTTATTTGTTTACCTATTTTTTTTTTTTGAGACAGAGTTTCACTCTTGTTACCCAGGCTGGAGTGCAATGGCGCGATCTCGGCTCACCGCAACCTCCGCCTCCTGGGTT